TATGATTTCTATGAATACAACTGTCATTATATTGATTTTCGTATACTAAAAAAACAAGAACTTACTTTTACTAATACAGTAAAAACAAGACGTATACCTTTAATTTGTGAACTTATACCAAACTGTACTCAAACCAAACATCGAACAATCACAAACACCTAATTTAATTTGTTAAAAGTTACGTTTAACGAATTAGCTGGATGGTATTCAGCTATTAGTTTTATTAACTAGATGCCGACATTTTGTTAACGGCCTAGACTGTATAGGTGTGTAAGCTTTACTCGTACCTTTAATAAATCATGAGAACAAATATTGACTCTGTTCAATGGCATTGTTTCACATCGATATCAAAATCCTTCAAAGCATCGATGGTATTGATACTATTGAAGAATGCTGCCACCGGAAAAATATGTAATCAGTGCACATTTAATATACTGTTCGTTACGGTAAATCATATCACGTTTCTTTTCTTTCTCTTTCATTAACGTCAACTTAAAATAGTATTAAAGGAAAAAAATGTCTATAAACACGTTGCTACTTATGATATACCAATTGTCCATCCTCCCTTTGATTAAAATTAAATAGTTCTTTCCCCTTATCCTTATCTCTCGACTACGACTCTACAAGTGATTCGCACCTCTACAGAGCATCATAAGTATTCATTAAACCTTAAAATGCTACACAGTACCGGTAGTCGGACTCTACAAGGTGGTCACTCCACGTTGAATCCTCAAGTCGCTGGACCTTACAGTGCTAAACACAAAATCTTATTGGTTGATAATGTAAGGTCTGGGGTTTGATTGCGAGATTGATCTCGATTATGCATGTGTATTTGTTTTAGGAATTTAGAGTAAGCAGCCTGTGCACAGCAAGTCTTGCAGATTCTGACTGAGTGTAAAAGTGGCTAGATATCTTAGTGAGAGTTAGAATAGAGTTAATAGCTCTAGTGCCAAATCTATTAAATTACAGTTTTAATTCTTGACATTGTTACTAAACTCTGCTAAAAGTATTAAAATTTGAAAGCAAGCGCTCAAACAGACATCAAAAATGTTGCGACTCTATAATTTTAATAACATATATTAAATAAAAAGCATTAAAATAAATTAAATCGTCGGCCATGTGACTTCGGTGGTCTGAAAAATAATAACCTCGAAATTTAAGTTTCTAACCTATCACGCGAGCTATAGATATAAAATAGTATGACAATTAACATTGATAAATATGGATCATGATCTATTTATTTTACACATTTCCGGTGGAACAGCAGGTTATATTGTATACGATCCTTAATAATTTTAGGTTACATAATTATCAAGATAATCTTTTTTGGATAATGATCCGATAAATATCTGGATATGGATAATCACAGTTACTGGTAAAAATATTTTTAATATAGAAAGACATTCATAATTGAAAAAACTTTAATTTTTGTTGTTTTAAATTAAACAATTAAAATTAAAAAAAAAAAAAAACAATGAAATCACATTGAACAAAAAGGGAAATATAAATAATAAATATAATATTTTTTTGTTTTTGAATGTCCATGCTAGACAATTTTCTTTATAAGAAAAACCATATTTGACAGTTGTTTAGAGATTTTTGTGTAATGTTCTATAAGTATCAAGGTATATTTGTCAAGATATTATATATTAACTGAAAATATATATTACACAAGGAAAAAGTTTGTAATGGATTACAATATTCGAAATATTTCAAAAATACCCAGAACGTCTCCGGTATTCTATTCATTCCCTAGGTGTTGTACAGAAAACAGATTGCCGGTAACATATCTACAACAAAATTACACACAAATGCGGCGGCTTATAAACGCCCAACAAGGTTATCGATCTCTGGGTCGTTTAGCCGTACAAAGATGTCTTTAGAAAGAAAATGACTCATAATGTGTAATTATATTAAGCATATTGTCTTAAAAAGACCTATCGTCCTCAAATCTTGATAATATAATCAACTTGGCGTTAATATATAGACCATTTTTTGTCAAATTAATAGTGATCATGTAACAAAGGCATTATTTTCATAGAGCAAATAGTTTAATGAAAAATCATGGAAATTATAAAAAAGATTTTATCAGTTCAATTTTTTTACTATACTGTTAACAGAACATATCGACGACAAAAAACTCTCTAGTTTGAATTTTCATATTGAAATATTAAAATTGGTAAGTTAATATTTTTTAACATGTTCATATTTATTTTAACAGCAGTTAATCAACTTAAGATTAATTTCAAAAATCAGTTATCAATAGTGTCCGACCGAACGTTCGGTTTCGGTCGAGTTTATTATTAACGGTTTTCGGTGGCAAGCCTGCCGAATCTACGACTGAAACCGAAACTGCTTTCAAGCGTTCTCGCGCTCTGATCGGTTGGATTTGTTCGACGCATTGAATGTTATGATTTAAGTAAACTCAATTCATAAGAAGAATCTATCTAATTAAATAGACAACTCACCTAATCTAATTAAATTTTTTTTTCTTAATTGGGGGTTATTATTTTTTATCAATAAGTAAATAATTTATGGCATAAAATATGGTGCTGGCAACAGCTGTCATTAAATAAGGGTATCATATATTTACTGTACCACAGTGTGCAATAGTTTTAGTATGTAAAATATTATTAGTTTTAATTTATAATTAATTCCGCCAGTGGCTTCACCTGCGTGTTCTTTTATTATACATAAAACTTTCCTTTTGAATCACCCTATGTATGAAAAAAAACACATCAAAATCCATTGTGTAGCTTTAAAGATTTAAGCATATATAGGGATATAGGGACTGAGAAAGCAACTTAGTTTTATGCTATGTAGTAATTAACATTATAACCTATTCATGCATTAACCTTATTATTATTATTTTATTCGCACATCACTGACTTAAAACATTTAATACAGTTTATATTACACATTATTTTAGTCAGATAATTTTAAAATATTAAATAGTGATAATTTCAAAAGTAAATCAATAACGTGTTACTATAATAATAAGTCAAGTTTGCTTAATATAAACATCTATGTCAATTATAAAATAATTTTATCATGCAGCCAAACTGTGACTCAAATAATCTTTTATTTTTTTAATACTAGGCTTCCTCACCTGCAGCAAGTATTAAATACTTCTTTTATTTTTAGTATATACTTATGGGGCCTTGATTATTATTTTGGCCCTTGTCTGTTTATTTTTACTGTTATCTTAACTATATATAACACACTACATACCAACACTAGATACTTATTCCCTGCTTATAAATAATCTCACCTTGTAAGGGTGTGCCATACCACTGTTTATTTTGTCCCAGGTTTCAACATGCAAACTTTTTGTCTTTGAAATTCAACATCATTTCTTTTTATTATTCACCTTTTGTAATTTAAAATTTTGACTAATTAAATATACTCTTTATGGATGTCAGTTTGTGAAAATTCTTTAAACAGTATGTAACATGTTATTATAATAATTAATAAAATATTTTAAATTATGTGCTTAAAGTGAAGTTCTATATAAGAAACACGTTAAGTGAATTAATAAGATTTGCTTTTTAAGGAAAACCCAAAAAGGGGTATGTATTTGGTAATTTAAATTTTTAACATACAATTTATTTAGTTTAACATATAAACTGTTTTTATATTCATTTTTTATTTGTTACAGTTTTCTTTACTTAATCAATTATAGCATAAATATATCTATACTCAAGCTAGTCAGCCTTTCATTAATTGGCCCAAGCACCGAACCCGTCACAACCTTATTCCCTTCTTCAAGTTTTTTTATAATTTCTATACCATACTATAATAGTATGTTTCTCTCATCTCTGTCCCTTATTATAAACTGCAATTTTTTCTTCTTGTAGTGTGTGGTTGAGGTTTGATAGTAAATTGTGCATTGTTTTTTGCATAATGGGGACATTCTAGTAAGATGTGAAAAACATCCTTCTCCCTACCTCCTTCCTTTATTTTGAACATGTGGAGGTTAGCTCTTAAGTGATTAACTCTAAAATGATTGTCTTTCATCTCAGAGCATAATTCACTACATGAAAGAATTAGAACAACTGTGCAACCTACACTTCAACACGAGGGCCACTTTGCTCATTAGCTGATCCACTCTCTTATACACAAATAATCTTTATAGTCCCACATATTGGAGGGCCAAATAAATTATGAAGTAAGAAAGGGTCTTAAATCTCTAAATGAGGTACTTAGAAGGTTTATTTATTGAAAAATGTTGATCATAACATTTATTAGTTAAAATGCTTATATATTAGTTAAAATGTTAAAACTTTTGTCACAAAAAAATACTTGTCTTAATGTTTAGGATTGTTATGGAATCCATGCATTCTTATATAGTTAAGTATTATTACATAGTACTAATCTCAACCTCAAAAGATACTTATTTTGTAATACATTCTGTGGTATTACAAAATACCCCTAAGGTTAGCAAAAACCTCATAGCAGGGCAAATTTACTAAACATCTAGCAGACAAGCTGTGCATGAATCAAAATGGGCTTGCACATAAAGTATGTAGTAATAATCAATGTTTGTTATATTAACAAAAAATGCTAAGTATGGATTGTCCAAGTCTAATATGAAGGTATGAGTAATCTCCTATCTACTTAAACATAAATAATTTATTCCTTGATTTGAAATGGCAAAACGTGCAACTAATCGGTAGCTTATATCTAAATAATGGAAGAAGAATAATGTTAGGTCATATAATATCAAATAAAAATACTATGGCCTCGATGTAATTTCCGAATTTTAGCACAATCAGAAATTGACGTAGCTCAAAAACTATACATAAATTAATAACGTAACATATATGTGATACGCAGCAACAGTACGACGCTATGTGTACATATTGTATACTGATCTTGATTAGAGAATAATTTCCGAACCAGGCCCTTGCAGCCCACTAACAATCCGTAGCTTTGCCAGTTGTCTCACTCAAACTACCTAATCATAACACAAAATAAATTGGAACAATATGATTACTCACCAAAAGATAAAAACAAGATAAGACGATGGCTCAATATATGGTCCTCACTTCATTATTTTACACACTACAAATCTTAATGAAACTAGATAATTCATGAAATTCATAAACACAACACATACGTCACTCAGAAATCCGCCATTTTATAAATTTTATTTCAGTTTTTACATGGGTGCCAACCAACATATATTAAAAAAATGAAGACCGCCTTCTAGGACCAATGTACTAAATTACATATGCTTGGTATTAGACACAAATCGTTCTCTCTCACTGATTCAAAGACGCTGAGTATTCTGTCCATGCAAAAGTGACAAAAAGCTATTAGATTATAACTTTATATATTTCGTCTAAAATTTTATAAAATAAAAAACGAGCACATTCTCCGCCAACACCTTTCTGTCTTTTTTTTTTCAATAATATAATTAGTTATCCGATCAGAGTTATATAACACCTCACTTCAAAGTGTGATCTTATTTTAATTTAGTTTATTTGCGACAGCGCCAATGTTCGGACATACTTATTACAATGTCAATAATTATCGAATTAAAAAATTATCTGTTGTAATATCATATTTAAGATTTGTAAATGTAATTTTACAATATCTAAAATGTGGAAGTATTAAAAAAAGAAACATTAGTTCCCGAAATCAAACTAGATGTCGCTACGGTACGTTCTTGATTTCTCTATGACAACCCTTCTAGTTTTCTTTCATGTTTTAAAATAAATAAGATTCAAAACTCAATAAACAACTCATATTCTATGTGTTCTTTTCTGTATTTGTATTGATATCTAAGTTTCAAACTTTTCAAATTTCAGTTTTTTAATATGTTAATTAATAGGAACGGATATGACTGTCTTTGGTCCATTCGTTACCTACAAAAATCAACTTTTGCTAGAGTTGCCATCTAGTGGAGCTGCTTTTTAGTGCTTTCGTTTATTTTAAATACTTCCTCATTAATAGTCAAAGTATTTTCAATAAAATAACCGAGTATTGTTTCTAACCCAAGCCACGCGCCATCATGGCAGTCATTCAAAGATAGAAGGCCAAATATTTGATGTTCTAAAACGAAAACTAGTTTCATCATAAGGATAAAAGTACACATTAACAATTACATTTTAATTTATTTTAATTTAAGCTTTAATTTTAATGCATTTTTTTAAGTAGGTACCTTCACAATGAGGAGGTATTAAAAAAAAGAAAGCACTAAAAAAGCTCCTCCACTAGATGGCGACTCTAGCAAAAGTTTTTTTTTGCAGGAAACGAATGGACCAAAGAAAGTAATTTCCGCTCCTGTAACTAACTTAATAAAAAACTGAACTGAACTTTGAAAAGTTCGGAACTTATATATTAATACAAATAAGAAAAAGTACAAATAGAATATGAGTTGTTTATTGAGTTTTGAAAACTAATTTACTTTTAAACTTGAAAGAAAACCGGAAAGGTTGTCATGGAGAAATCAAGAATGTACCGTAGTGACATCTAGTTTGATTTCGGGAACTAATGTCTTTTTTTAAATACTTCCTCATTATATTTAGTTTGACAGCGGTTATAACCTCAAAACATTTTCAAATTACGACTCTCCCTGGCCTCCAAATAAAAAGATGCTTAGATGCTTAGATATTATTCTATTTTAAACAACAACTAATTTAAATTATCACTAATGATAGGTAGACCTTTAAAAAAAACATGTGTCAGGTTAATCAATGTATGGAAAGCGGTCATGATTCTTTGTATAATATCAGTTACTTGTTAGTAGTTACTTTGTAGTCTTCATTCGGTGTACTAAATAAATTCCGTATGTTTTAACACTATTAATATCATTTTCATTTTTCTCTGGGATAGGACAGATTATTCGTGGCTATATAGATTATATTGGGCTTCTAAGGTCAATTATCACAAGTGCGGCTCGCCTTTAGTTTATTTTGCTACCTTCTGGCCCTTACTTACCAAAAGGTTTCCCCACCGCTGACCTAGAGGGTTGATAACGCCTAACGCCTACGTATCCAGTGGAGGCAACAAAGCTCTGTCACTGATAATCGAAATACATATATATTCATTTACCTATCAACCTTCTTACGCTGAACATGAAATACATCTCAAGCCAATAAATACACATTTCAGGACTCTGAATTTATTTAAGGGAATAAATTCCATTGCACTAAGAAGGCACAACTCCTTCTTATAGTACTCTTTGGGGTTAACACAGAATATACTATGTGATATTATGTCCGTTGGTTGTAGCAGTGTATGGTCTATGGTTTGCTAAGCACCCTTTGCCTTCCCCTCACCTGTAGGAATGGGAAAATTGAACCAAAAAAAAGGTCTATGGTTTGGTGCCGTATTTGAGTATAGTTTTAGTACGAGGCGTTATTTAATTGTATTGTTCATAGAAGTAGCTAATCGTCCTTTTGAGTTTTCCTTTATAGTGTGACTCGTGTTTTAGAAAATCCACGAGTAAATAAAAGGGAAGATAAATTTTAAAATGGTACAATCATAACTTCATTATGCCTTCATCCTAAAAGACCACTGAAAAAGGAATCAAAGTTGTCTACATACATTTCAGTAACTATCCTCAATTTAACTACTATCTAAATTCTAAACCTTTCAGCAAAAGTAGTGACCTAATAATACAGTTCATTTTACTAATTTACAAGTATGTTATACCAGCTATAATAAAAATCTGCAAATTTACGTATGTTAGTTTAAAATTTTATATTTCAAACGCGTATATTTTATATTATATGCAAACGGTGCAACACGTAGTATCTTCTTCTTAGTCTGTGGGTGCAACATTTGAAATAGTACATGTGATGCGAAATTCTCTTATACCTAGATATTATCATACTCTTTACGACTGCGCCCCCTCCCCCTTGCGGGGGGGCAGTCGCTCCGGTCGAAGGTTCATTGCCTCCGGGCATGTAACCAGCTGTCCAAGGCGCTGTTGATTCAATAGGAGTCTGACTTAACCACACATCCAGCTGCGTGGTATCAAATGAAGGATTCACCGCCTCCTTCCCCCGTTGGGATGGTAGTTCCGAACGCCTAAGGTTGAGAGCCGAAAAAAAAACTCTTTATAGTTTATAACAATTCTCAAATTACTATGCACAAAAATCTTACGCTTCTTTCATTACTGGAATAGTGAAGTGCCTTGTTATGAGGAAGAGACTACTTTCTTCAGTCCAAACCTGAATTCCGATTAATCGAGTTCATTGAAGTTACGAGCAACCAATAAGTTGTAATTACTAATATTGATATATAAAACAAACATCGTTCCTTTACACGAAACATAATAAATAACTTAAACTTACGATTCAAATAAATTTATTTGAAAATTAGATATTATAAAAAACATGAAACAACGTCATATTTATTAATTCTCTATAGTCAATTTACTTTTAATACGCCAGAAACATAATAGGGTATTTGACACTTTTCTGAAAACTATTTTAAATCGTTGTTTGCTACATTATAAACACACTGTCTTAATATTTCATTGGAATCTTTTCTATTTTTAGTGAAAATAATTGTTAAAATTTAAGTAGCCAAAAGCGCGCTAAGAACGCTGCTCTATGTAATGGCGCTGATCGTGACGTCACAGGCCAGTAAATATGTCAAATCGATAAGTAACAACTGTCTTTAGAGCAAATCGAAATAATAATTTAGAAGAGAAATTGAAGTCGTAGTGCGTATTTTTTACGTGTTTTATTTTCCTCTGCTCTGGTTTTCTTTAAAAAATGAGCTACAATGAGTAGTGCCACAATGTACTTATACTTCTATAAATAACAAACAAACTTAGATTGTAGAAGAAAATAGATTCACAATAGTATAGTATTTATATAGAGTAGAGATGGGTGATAAAATTAGGTAAAGACTCGCTAAAAGTATTGAAACTTTTTTATTTCATATTGATACACTTGAAGGTTTTCTTTTTGGTTTTTTTCTTTGTCATAAACAATTTACGACTCATTTATATTTGTTGACAGGGCTCGCACTTTACAGCCTGTCGACCTACAGATGGATGAATGAATGAATGAATGAAATATTCTTTATTGTACAAACACCATACAGTCAGAAAATTTACAGTAATAAGTTAATAATAAGTACAATCGGCGGCCTTATCTCTTAGACGCGATCTCTTCCAGGCAACCGTTACAAAAAGGAAAAAAATAAATTATAATTGGGTAGGCTATGGCGTCTAAAAGAATCTTTATTACCTACAATATGATATACAATACAATATACAAATAAATACTTACAAATTACAAAATATTAAATAATAATACATACATAATATAATGGAATACATAAATACATTATTATAATCATGCTATCAAAACTAATATAAATATATACAAAGATGAAGAAAGCAAACGGTGTTCATAGTGACAAATAATGCTCCTTAAGTCTACTTTTGAAAGTGTCAATAGATTGTGCATGTCTCACATCTTCCGGTAACGCATTCCAGAGACGGGCAGCTTGAACAGTAAAAGATTTGTCAAAGAATTTAGTGGAATGCATTGGTATCTCCAATTTCAAGTTCTCCGATGACCTTAAAACATGACTGTGTGTATTATGAAGGAAATTAAAACGTTCCCGAAGATAAGTAGGAGTAAACGGATTAAACAGGATATTGTACAGAAGCGAAACAATATGTGCATTCCGGCGAAGACGAATTGGCAGCCACTTGAGCTTATTACGAAAATCGGATACGTGATCATATTTGCGTAAACCAAATATAAATCTAATACAAAAATTTTGAAGTCGCTCAAGTTTATTTAACTGCTCTTCAGTAAGGTCAAGATAACTGACATCGGCATAATCTAATATAGGGAGAAGAAGAGTACGAAAAAGAATGTTCTATTTTTTTTATACATGCATGTAGTATGTCTGTCCACTAAATGCATGGCATTTGATAATTAGATTCAGATCCCGATGATTTTTTTAAATTAGTTTTTAACTTGGAGAACAGTATACGTCATCAAAATCGACTTTGTAATTTTGAAATATTATATTAAAGTTCAAGAAATGAGAAAAACATATAAGTTGCTTTTTTTTAAATTGCTGGCGTTTTCCATATTTCTTGGATTTTTTAAAACGCTTAGTAAATGATACAGGTATCGATATTTTATGTATCTTTCTAACACTACTTTGACATAACAGCTGATGACGTCACAGGCCAGTAAACAGAATCGTGATTGGTTGTGACGACGACCAATTATGGGACGTTTTCGTCGTTGAAAAAATTCCTAAAAATATTGCATTTTCTTTACGTTATTTTACTAAATACATAACGTAACATGTTTTTTCTGCAGTTGTTATGAAATAAGCTTTATTAGATTATTATCTATCAGGATTACCACAAAATGCAACTTATTTTCGATAGTGCAAATACCCTATTTGAATGAATATCATAGACAAGATCCAAACATCGCTAATGACATCTAGTTTGATTTCAAGAAATATTTTTTTTTTATAAATACTCCCTCTTTTTTTTGTGACACTGTGACGGATGAGTGACATTGACAGATACCCAACGTAGTTTGTGGACAGTTGTCAAAAGGTTCCATTATTACTACTCAAAGATTACAATATTATACTGGTAATGGTGTTACTACTCTTTGGTTCCATTGTAGGAAGGAGAGTTTTTCCGGTACCTATTGCAAAATATTTTTAAGCGCAACTACGTCTAGTCTTTAGAATAGGACATTTGCGAGAATAACATTGAAAATTTTATAGAATGCCAATAAAATGGTTTATAACTTAGGAAAAATTTTGAACAATTGGATTACTTTACGAAACACGCTTATCGCTACTAGCAAAAAGCGGTCTTTTAGATATGGTTTGCCTTTCATCCTATTTGTTATAGGAGGTTCATTCGGACTTAGAGAATGGACACAAATAAGGTAAACACACAACATTTGTAGCTTTTTCACATAGATAAGTTCTAAACTCCAATAAACGAATTTCTACAACTTTTCTTCGAAAACGTATCAACTCAGCTCATTTTTATACTCCATTCTATATTTAATTAGCCAGTATGACCAGTATTGGTTTCAAATAGACTATAAATGTACTAATATACTAACACACAAATTCAGGTTTCCCTTTAAAACTATTTGAAACGGTTGTAGTGTGTTTATATTTTATTTCATGATGTTTCGGTCCCTTTGCAGGTCCCTGTTTACTTAAGACTAAGATGTCAATTGTGTTTTTAATTAATAGCTACCTTCAAAACAATAATTATGGGTACTTTTTTTATCGTAAAAGTGTCCAAAAGTAAAGTTATACCTAATGGATTTCACTACCAAATAAGGTTGTTATAATCAAAACAAATCATGGTCAGTGTTAATTTGAAACTCATATTTATATGATACTCCATTCCAGTTTTTCCATTAATTCCAGATACCAATTTGCTCAAGTAAAAGGAGTGAGTAGAGAGGAAGCTGAAAAAATGGGCTTACACAAAGAAAAAAAAGTTTCACTTGAAACAGTTTATGATGATATCCAAAAGTTAGACATTGATAATTGGGAAAATAAACGTGGTCCAAGACCATTGGAAGAAAATTTAAAGCCTAAATAGTTTTATCTATTAAGGTAAATTTTTAAAGTAGATTGTATAGTGATGAGATATTTATGAAATAATGAAATAAATAGGTGTTTATAATGTAAAAATACTTGATTTTTTAATAATAATGAACAGAGATCCATACAACATGAATGTGGAAAACAGAAATGAGTTTAATTTCATATTGAAATTTGATGAGATAATTTGTTTCAGCAATGTTTTTCAGCAATTTTACGTAAATTTGCCTATTCCAAATATTTATACACAACAAAATTATGCTTAATTAAGACAAACTCAATATTTATATTTTTTAATTAAATAAATATTAATTAATTCAGATGATGTTGTCCAACCAATGTGATGTGTCCTATGTTGTATATGGAATAAAATGTAAGTTGCATTGCGAGATGGTTAATTATATAAAACATGACATGTAAATACTGTTCATTACATGGAAGGTCATAGGTTCCGGTCTCATATCAGAGTGCCAGGGATAAAGGGCATTTTAAAGCTTTTTTCATTAAGAATATCTTTTGGTATAGTATTGTGAATGCAAAACTGATCAAATATAATAAATAAAAAATAAATGGCGTTAAACAATTAAGAAGGCAGCTTCACTCCCTGATTTTTGATAGATTACATAGAATATCTTTCTTTTTAATCATTCATTCACATATATGTATAATAAAACTACAGTATAAACCTTAACAACTCAATGATTAAATATCTTGTATATATACTCTGGTTTCCCTTCAAAATGCATATAATTATCTCGTATTACTACTTAACCTTAAAATCATTGTACACTTCCTCCAGGCTATAATAAAAAGGTTAGCTTTAAGGAGCTGTCCACACAGAGTTATTCCGCAGATCGTGCGACACCGTCGCATCTGCAAAGCTACAACACATGCGCGTTAGCAACTTCTTCTTCTTCTTGACGACGGATGTTTATCCCAATGCGACACTTGGTGCCTGTTTTGCGTGCAAAGTGGAGTCCTGCCAATCCAGTTCATCCAAGAAGGATTGTAATTTTCTGATGTTCTTCCAAGTGTCCAGTAGTGTTTTTAAGCTGCCTAGGGGTGCAGTACTTTGGTCTCGTCACTCTTCTGCAGTGCAGCAGTACTTGAGCGCTCGTCTCCTCCTCCTCCAGGCAGGCCTTGCACAGTGGACTGACAGAGATGCCTAGGTTATAAAGGTGTTTGTTAAAATACCCATGTCCAGTGAGAATACCCACAATTAGTCTCAGTGTGTGTCTGGCTAGTTTGCATAAACTTAACTGATAGTCTCGGGTCTACCTTAGAGATTGCTTCCCTGGCTTGACTGCAGTCGGTGAGTTTAGACCATTCTTCGTCATGTTTGCGTTGATAACGTTCCTGTATCCAACCTCTCAGTAAACTATATGGAATAGGAACTAACGGTTTCGATCCGTAGATTACAGTGTCCGAGCCCCTTTTGGCCAGTCAGCCGCGTCATTACCTCTGGATCCGCTATGACCTTTTATCCATTGTAACGTTAAGTCATTGTCCTTATTTACCTCTGTTAGTTTACAGTGGCATTCGTATACTAAACCTGATGTCATTATGTTGTTGTCCAGCGCTTGAAGAACCGACACACTGTCCGAGAGTATGCGGATACTTTTACCTTTAACTGCGCGACTCACTCAGTATGTAGCGTTGTGTTACTCACTCTTTTTTAATGAGGATGAGTGAGTACCTCATTTTCCCTCGTGAGGGGCTCGCGAGTTACCCCTCATTTGAGGTGAGGATAGGTAATGTTATAGTAGCAGTGAATGAGTACGTAGCGAGGCGCGTGCAACATTGCCGTTTGGTACAAAATGAGGGAGGGAGTCGGTAATGCTAAACAAAACATATTTTGTCTTTAGATTCTAAGAAATAAACTTTATTAGATTATTATTTAACAGAATGACCACAACACTCAACTTATTTGCAATAGTGTCAAATGTTCCATTTTTAAAATCGATCAATCATTTATATTTTCAATCATATAAATATTTTTCTGAATAAAACCGATACATTTTTAGTAAGTTTGATTTTTACTTAAACTGATTAATATCATTTGTCTATAACATTTTAAATACGTATTTGCGAAGACACACATAAACAAACCTGACTCGTTCCAAAAAACTCATAAAACTTAACCCATTCCCTCAATCTTGAATATATTGAGTAAGTATCGAGTCGCCTTTTCATTCGAAACAACTCGCTACTTAGCTCCTCACTCAAAAAGTGAGGAGCTTAATGAGTTTGTTCAAAATTGAAAAACGAGAACTCCCTCATTTTGTCGAAATGAGGAACTCAAACGAGGCACCTCGCGAGTGAGGGGCTCATCACTATCAGTATGGCTTCGGTAGCCTTGATGATGCCCACGCACTCAGCTGGGAAGACTGTGGTGTGGGTCCGCAGTGCTACTGAGACATGTATGTTAAGATCCTCTGAGAATGCTCCTGCTCCCGTACCTGACTTAGTTTTGGAACCGTCAGTGAAAATCCTGAGTTCCTTATGTAGACATTTGTCCGGTGCAACCTCGTAAAGTTGTATTCTGTATTTTTTGTCAAATACGTACTGTTTAGGAATTAGGTCATTTACTGCCTTGAAGAACGGGTATTCAGCATCGATGTCTTTCATTATGACCATGTGTTGTGTATAGTGCCCTTTCCACAGCTTAAGCGTCTGCAGTCGTGTAGCCGCACAAGCTGCTTCCTGTTGTATATATAGATGTAGAGGTCTTACGTTCAGAATGGTCTCTAGTGCTGCTGTAGGAGTGGTCCTCATACTGCCAGATATCGCACGACAGACTCGTCCTTGAAAATTTTGCAGTTTGTCCTTTGTTGTTGCGTTAGCAACGCGTTAGACCCTGTTAGTTTTCGCGCGAGAAAGTTACGTTGTGCCATATATTGTTTGCTAGGTATTAGTTGTCCGCGTAACAACTGCAACTTCAACTGTAATGTAAGGAAAATCGCGTAAACACGTCTTCACTAGATTTACGTCCATTCGAACGCGCAACACCGGTTCGTATGTATCGCTATACACGCGCGTTGATGTGTTTAAAAAACGTGGTGTGCTCAGCTCAGGCGCTTTCAATCAGGTGTATGAGGGTCTACAGTCTGTGTCTGACTCGCGTGCGTACATGTAAAATGTTTTGAAAATTTGCCGTAGTCCAGGTAAGGTTTAAACGGTGGTATACCGGGTCAACTATGTAATATATAAACTTGATTGGGTTTAATTTTACAATGCGCATCTAAAGGCCATTATCACTTGGTAATCGGGTTCATCAATGATAATTAGCCACAGAAATAACCTTCATGTGTAAAAAAATATTTGTGGGTTATTTATTAGCATTGATAATGATTATTAGTAGAGGTGCGCCGAATATTCGTTTGGTATTCGGCGTATTCAGAGTGGTAAGTGTAAGTTTTACGCTTACGCGTTCACTAGTGAGCGCGTTATGAATTTGTATGGAGATTTATACTTCTTGGTAGTTACCGCTAGAGGCGCTGTACCGGATTCTATACTAAAATCTTAACGCGCTCACGATCGACAGTGAACGTAAACATCAAAAAAACTTACACTAAGCATTCCGCATCTTGTTCACTAGCTATTCGTATTCGGTTTTGGTGCCGAATATAATCGGTTCGAGTATTTCTATTTTCTTGATTTCACAAGACGGTATGGAACTAAAAAACAAAGCTTTTTATGGAAGATTTATGAAACATTATAAGTCAAAGACATCCATCCCAGGACGAATGTGTTCAATAAAGCTTATAAAATAAAGCAATGAACTTCATATCATAAATATTTTTAGTGAAAAATGCTTAAAAACCCACCAGCACCAGGTTGTCTGAGAAAACACTCGTACTCACGAACTTTTGCAATCTGGGCAACTGCTCTAACCACTGAGCTACTCAAGACCCGGTTGGCTTAAGCGTTTTCAGTCCGGAAATTTCGATGTCAAATGCACGTCGCTTCGGTCGCCCTGTTGCAGACAAAATGGATGCTATTTTTGATAAAGTGGAGTAAGATCGGCATATCAGTAGTCGTAGCTGAAGACCCTGGGAGACAAAAAAGTTCGATATTTGGGTACCTCACGAGCTCACTGCAAGAAACCAAATGAACCGTATACTCAGGGCCGTCTTAGACTATGCTGGGGCCCTTGGGCACACAAGATTTCGGGGCCCTTTTGGAATGTAAAAAGAACGAATCGAACTATACAATTTGAAAATGAACACTCCCCACTACAATTGTTAACCAATAGGCAAAGGAATATTCTTGTAGCAACTTCAACATTTGGAAAAGTTTCTTCTTATCAGATTTTATTAAGTTATGTAGGACTGAGATATTAAATTTAAAAACTTCACTACTGCAACAATTCTCCTAAGGACATTTTTCCAATAGTTAACTTCTATATTATATCGGGGACAACAACTCACTATCAATTCGACCAGTAGTTTTCATTCTTGTAACATTATTCATTATAAATTGCCTGTGTCGCAACTGTTTTCATGCTTCATCAATAAGTTACTTATATGTTTCCAATCCTTATATCCATTTGGAGAATTCAAATTATGTCCAGTACCAATAGTAGTATTAAATAGACGACAGCAGTAACAGTACACAGATTTCTTTGCTGGGGAATAAAGGAGCCATTTTCTGTCCAGAGACCATTCGTTAATTTACGGGTAAAAATATTTTTTGTCAAGTATGCGAAAAGTCGTGGGTTCGATTCCCATCTCAGGATGCCAGGGACCAAGTGGATTTTTTAAACATTTTGTATTAAGAATAATTACCACATGAAGCATAAAAACTTGTAGAAGTTCCGAAGAAGTCACCGTGTTTATTTTGGAAAAACTGGCCCTTTTCGAATCCAAATATTACGATTTTCTTCCGTTAAAATGCCGTTACAGTACTTACCAGGGTAATGAGATACAGACACACTATCCAAGTTTGCAATTATTAACTCACAGTTGCTTGATGTTAAGGATTCAGAATTTGATGTACATTTGTCGTTTTCGTCACAAGTAATAACCTCTTTTTCCTAGTGATCTTTAAAGGTATTATCTTGAGCAAGTTTAGGAAGTCTTTCCCTGATTTCTTTTGAGCTATTACTTTTTTTCAGAAATA